CCTCTGAGTCTGCCTTCTTACTGTAAATAATAAGGCATAGAGCGAGAAAGCACCGAGTACACACTTCCAGAGAGGGGGCGTGGTCAGACACAGCTCATTTACATATTTAAAGGTACAGACACAGAAACAGCCTGTTCTGAGCAGGGCTGAAATAAGGGTTTATAGACATGATCAAAGACAGGATCAGAGTGGATTTAGAACAAGACACTTCAGAACACTTTCAGGGAGCTCTGAGACTTCTTTAAACCCGTTGAAAAGGAGGATAATATGTGACCTTTAACCTGCGACTGTTGTTATCGTCTGTTAATCATTGTGGTCATCTTTGAAAGTAAAAATGTAACATCAGCCACTCGCATGTAAAACCATGTTTCCAAAATAGTGAAGACTTTGATTTAAAGTTATTTTGGGATAAAAACAGAAAGTGATGATTGGTGAAACACTGAGCACAAGGACACTGTGTCAAATATTGAAACCGATAAATCAGTCATTGTTTTATAAATTATACGCCCATTTTGAATTTGATGTCGATCACATGAGGCAGGATCATGTTTACCCCCCTGTAGCTTCAGCTCGTCTTTTAACTACACTCCAAATAAATATGGGTTTCAATCTTTTGCAAATCTTTACTTTTGTCATTTTATATTTGACACTGTGTCAACTTTTTTCTGGAAACAGTGTTCAAGAGATTTTTTTATGCTTAACTTTGTCTGATATCATAGTAAAGTTTTCATAGTTTAACACCAGTATTGTATCAGATTTCAATATTAAAGTTTGAGTTTGTAACCTTTAGGTCAGAAATAATAAGGTCAATGATGCCAATTTAGGCTTTAACAACTTGTATTTTGTTTCTTTATGTCTAACAGATAAATTGAGAAGACAGTTGAGAGGGTTCATAATTATAAAAGATGTTGATTTTTAGATTTCTATTCAAATCCAACAGCATCTTCAATTGTCAGTCTTAACAAACATCATGCTCCACTCTCACTACAATCTGGCCGAAGAAGAAAGTGGCCTGACGCTTTTTGGTCAGAGCAGAGAAAGGTAGTCTGCTGCCCTCTTGTGGTCGAGAGGGGACCTGCAAGCAGTCCACCCTCTTACATCCTCCAGCAGCATCTTGCTCCCTCAAACAAGAGGGAGAGATGTCTTTGTGGTGACACAGTTTGCATTGATGCTCCTTGGAGTAATGTTTGAAGTCGGTGCTCACGGTAAAAACGGAGGAATAATCATCACAGTTCAGAGTCTCAGAACAGGAAGGCGGACCAGGGTGGGTGGTGACGAGGGTATTGGGGTCATCTGCTCTGACCTCCTCTCCCCTGCAGACAAAAATCCCAACACCTGCTCGGATCTTTTGCCCCAGTCCCGCAGAGCGCACTGGAAACGCTTGCTGAGCAGAGCGTACAAAAGAGGATTGATGTCAGAGTTCAGCAACACCAGCAGGTGTGAAAAGGTGACGGCAGGGGGCGGGACCAGGCTGGTCTGGCCTGAAATTGCCGTTTCTGCAGCCTGAACCAGGGCCACACATATGAAAGGCGTCCAGCAGAGTAAGAAGGCTGAGATAACCAGAAATAAACGCAGAAGTCCTTGGTGGTTTTGGTGATGCTGCGACAGGGAGGTGAAGAAACGCCTGGATGTTGAGTTATTCTTCTCTGGAGCAGAATCAGGGAAAGCAGAGCTCATATAATGCCCCTGTTCCTTTCTTATCTCAGACACAAACTCTCCGCTTATGTGATAAATCAGTCTGGAGGGCAGCACTGGTGAGATGAACCACATGGAGAAGAGGCAGAGTCTTGATTCCTGCTGCGCTGCACCGATTCCTCCAATGTGTGAATCCTCCTGGCATGGCTGCGTGCAACCTTAACAATGTTCCCGTAGCAGAAGAGGATGACCCCGCGGGTACGAGGAAGGAGAGGGCGGCCGTGAAAGCCGCGTAGCTGGAACTGCTGGACCAGTTGACTGCACAGCTGTACACGGGCGCCACATAACTGATGGAGCCCCAGCCGAGCAGGGGGGGCAACTGGTGAGCAGAGCCTGCAGCCAGATCCACATCACCACAGCGCCGGTCCTCCACGGGGTGCAGCGAGAGCTGTAGCGCAGGCAGTCCATGATGGAGTGGTAGCGGTCGAGGGCGATGGCGGCTAAAGTTAGAACAGAAGCTGTGCAGTAAACGGAGGAGGTGTAGCCCACGTACAGACAGAGACCCTGCAGGAGAGGAGAGACACAGAATCTCACCAGTTAGCTGAAAGCTCCTGTGAGCTGGTAATGAAACAGACTGTTTTTAAATGACATGAAGAGGCATCAATTTTAATGTCAGACAGGACCATGCAAAGATACGATTTCCCCCTACTGTTGAAGGTCTAAAAAGCTGGTGTAGGAACATTTTAAATATGGGGAAAATGTTGAGATTACACCCTGAACAGTCCAGGAAGATAAAGAGTATAAATTGCTGTCACTACGTTGACTTTAAATGACTTCAGACACTGATGCTGTGATGTAACAAAATCTGAAAAGCTCATCCTAACTCAGGACGGAGGTGACTCACAGCACAATCCACCCATCCACGGTTCATGATGGACAAGGCAACAAACGGCATCACTCCGACGCCCACCAGGAGGTCACTGACGGCCAGGTTCATGACGAGCACTGACGTCACCGTGTGGAAAGTCTTGTTTGCAGCCACGATAACAATGACGAGTATATTACCTACACAGGAATACACACAAGAAGACACCGCTTGTGAGACTAAATGGATTCTAAAGCAGCAATCTCATCAACTCTCAATAAGCAAAAGAGAAAAATCTACACAGAAGTCCACGTGTGAATTACAAACTGATTCCAGGAAGTTGTGGACACTCTAAATGTGCTTTCTCAATAAGAGCTAATGAAGACTTCTCTATCAGTTAATTCAAATAAATCAAGTACAAAACTTTTCCGAGCATCGTTATGGTGCTAGAACAAGAATGTTTTATGTTCCATTTAACTTTGAAACTGCATTTTTATGACCTTATCTGAGAAAAACAAGAGGATCACCGAGTCAATAGATCAATCAATAGAAAAAGCTGTGAGCTAAAAATAGAAAATGTTGTGTTCTGTACATGCTATGTTTAAAATCAATCAAATCAAATCAAATCAAAACCTCCGTACCTGTCACAGCTCCCAAACACATCAGCACCATCAGGACCTCCAGGACCAGGTGGGCCCGCCCGGACACACCGAGACCTGCGGCCCCTGTCCAGTTCACGTTGCCCGCCTGCGATGCGTTCTGCAGAGAGGACCCGGACTCGGACCCGGGCTCCATGTCCCATTCAGAACAGCTGCTGTCCTCACATGATGAGACTCAGTACACAAGTGACTGGATGGAAAAAAGAAATGAGCGCGATCAGATGTTCTCCTGTCTGCCCTCCTCCTCCCCCCCTCCGGTCGCACAGTCTCCAGGTGAACGCTTTACTCTTTGAAAAGAGGAGGGCGGGAGGGCGGGAGGGCGGGGGTACATGAGCACCTGTTTTAACCCCTTCAGCTCAAATCTCAAACAATAATAAAGGAGAAAACGACATAAAATATGTCATAGCATTTATTTATTCAAGCATGTAAGAAAGTTTATAAAACCACAAGTTGCAACAAAATAAAAACCTTAAGAAACGAAGATGATGCCCATCGATAAAGCAGCATTATATATATATATATATATATATATATATATATATATATATATATATATATATATATATGTGAATGATATTCTCCTGGGTGTGGAGATTATAGTCCAGTCCTGCTGCTCTGAGGCAAAAACTAATTGCTCACATAAATAAGACACTTTTCCTCCTCAAATGAGAACATTCCTGTTAATGCTGCCGCTCCACTGATACTCAGATTGCCTCCATTAATATCACGGCATGCCCGCTGGAATATTAAAATTGCAATAACCAAAGCCGATCACTATTCATGACTCTCATTAAAGCGCATGAAAAGTGTCCTCTTGAGGCCCGCTGACCACGGTAACAGACTGTGTGGAGCAGTCTTCATGTTTCTCATGCAGGAGGATTGGAAGTCGTGTCCTTCAGGCCAAGCTGTTGCTGCATGATGTCTTTTTTTTCTTTTTAATTTTCAGTCAGCTGGAGTTGAACTTGAGGTGAGGTGTTGCCGTGTATATTCCCAGATCAGCAGCGCGGCGCTCACGTGCACGTTGAGCGAGCGGATGATGCCTTGTTGAGGGATCTCCACGCACACGTCCAACATCTGGAGCAAGTTGGCGGGAATTCCTTCTCGTTCGTTACTGCGAGGTAGAAAAGAGAAAAACAATACAATGCAAACAGTTACAATGAGATTTTTAATATCGACATTATCCCCCATGTTTATCACTCACACTTTTTTTTGGTTGGTTCAGAGAATCACAGAAACCTTACAGAAGTAAACGCTCTATATACAGAGCTCGAGCCTCTACATGTTTAGCTGAGTTTTTCCTAACAGAAGCATACAATTTTTTATTTTGAAGAGGACAAGAGTGAGACAAAAAGAGAAGAAGGGAAATTCCACTTTTACACTCTGCTGTTGGAGCATGCTGCAAACCCACAGATCAGTATTACACTCACATGCATCTAATTAACGTTAGAATATGCATCAAGTCAGCAATTTGCAAACATCAACTCCCAGACATCTGATACATAACATCACACCATCTGTTTTCAGTCACACACTGCTGTGTATCATCTTCAACCAAACAATATTTTTTTAGTAAACTGAGTGTTTATACTCCGTTTAGTGATGCTATCTCGATATTTTAACTCAACCCGTAGCATGAGCAGTCAAGTTATTGCTCGTCAGCTTTCACCGTCATGAGACATGAGCTTCATGCACAGATGTCTCCAGAGCTGCAGACCAAAGAGTAATCAACACAGCATACATCCAGATGCAGCAGTATGGGCGATGCAAAGCTCACATAAAGAGGTAATGAGCCTGGCGTTCAGCGAGCCTACAGGAGGAGGCCACACATTAGGAAAAGGGTGATTTGATGAGCTACACTTCTCTCGAGTGCCACCGAGTGAGATAATAGCGACCTGATGAGAGATTAAAGCGGGGCGTGCTGCGCTGAGGAGAGCGCAGCTGTGAAGGCACTCAACATTCAGCTCACATGAAGAATGTTTAAGTTCACAGCTCGGTTTGCATCAGAGTGAGAACATTAAAGAGCTTCTATTATGATCATTTATTAATTGTTTTAGTCATTGTTCAAGCAGAAATTGCATAAATCTGGAGGTTTCAACTTCTTTACTGTGAGGTTTTGTTGCTTTACTTTGGCGTTAATGAATGTGAAGGGAAAAAAAATGATTTTGAAAGTTTCATGACAAACTTTATTGAAAGATATGAACAAGTCACTTAAAGTTTTCAAAAACTTTCTACTGAAAAATGCGCATAGTTTCTGAAAGTTTCTTTAAATTTCCATTGAAAATTCAAAAAGAAATCAGAAAGTTCCCTAAAATGTCTACTGAAAAATAAAAAGGAAAAAAAATCCCCCAACATTTCCTTTTGTAAAATTCCTGAGAATCTTGTTGTCCCAAAATGTCCCATTAATATTCCTGAAAATCTCAGAACCTTCCATTGGAAATTCCCTTAAAGTTTCCGAATTTTTCTACCTGCTCACCAGCCACACTCACATTTACACCTACGGCCAACCCTGTTTTGAAACTACCACCCCTGCCCTGTGGTGCCCCTATACAAGCACGGTGACGATGCAAGGCGTCACTTTGCACGTCTGACTGACGGCGCTGTGAGGCAACAGCGCTCACCACCGTGCAGCAAAAAAAAAACTAAAACATCCATTTGATAAAGTTGGTTCAAAGATCAGCTGTGATTGCACGGTCACTGTTACTTAATGTATGCTGTTGAATTATTATAAAGAGTTTTGATTTTATCCAAAGACACCTACATGCAGTGCTGCTTAAAATTAGTTGGCAGCTTGTTGGAAACTGCTGAACTCTCCTTTTATTCATCAGCTGATTCACTCTTTGACAGAGGTCTAATCTACAGAGCTCTCTGTGAACCAGTTTGAACCCGTCAGTGTTTGTATAGTGGAATAAGAAGTGAGAGAGGAAGGGGGTGGGGTTAAGAGGAGTGTACATTTGCAGGTGAAAACTGGATGTTGGTTTTCTGTATTGTTGGATGTATGTTGTAACTGAAAGCGGTTTCTGACTGATGTTCACCTGAAAAACTTGATGAAAATAATGACTAAATCAGGACACACGTCTGGCTCCTGTTGACCTGACTGATGAAAGCAGCAGGGAACAATCACCTCACTACTGTCTGACAAAAATGTGCCCGGTGATTTCATCACACTGCTTGTATTGCATTTTGTAATTTATTTCCTGTGCTCTCCTCCTCGGGGGAGAACCAATTATAGCCCAGCATGCTCAGACATGTTCACTCCATGGAGAGGAGAAGCGCATGGCCCCGCGGGGGGAAACAGAAAAACCTGAGAGATAACGTTAAACAGCCTCGTCAGCTCGCACCTTAATCTATTTGAGAGCCACGAGGGAAACGGGGAAGGCAGAGACCCTGCATACATAAGTAACCGCACTGATGGAAAATAATGTGACTCTAAAATCTGTCCTACCCGAGGAGTAGAAGCGTCTTCTCGGGGAACTGGTAGTCCTGCAGGCTCTGGCTGTTGGCGGTCTGCTCCACTCCGACGATACAGTAACCTTCACTCTTCTTCATCTGCAGGAAGTCGGCGAGCTCTGCAGGCTTCACCTGATGGACAGAAACAGTTTATATAACCTTTCTGTTTCAATCACACAAAGCAGCTAAGATACATTTGACAGTGTGGACCATAAATTCAGTCAATCTGCTGAAGATATGTTCACTTGTTCCTGTTTCATGTGCTGGATGAAGAGATGGAGCTTTGATGAAGCTAAACTTACCCGAGCATTTACCCCGCACTCTCAGGTCTGCAGATGCAAACCTCCTGCTGCTATATAAAACTAATGTATTATTATTATTATTATTATTATTATTTAGCAACGTCATAAGATTGATGACTCCTAAATGTACACATGATTTTGACATGTTGTTGTTGTTGGTTACGGCAGCAGAAATCAGGAGAGCAAGGAGGTGGGATGTGACTACATGGAAGATTTTTTGAAGATTTATTTTATTTATTTTTTTGCCTTCATTGGAGAGACAGGACAGTGGACAGAGTCATAAATCAGGGAGAGAGAGAGAGAGAGAGAGAGAGTGGGGAATGACATGTGGGAAAGGAACCAAAGCCAGACCCGAAGCTGGGCCACCCACCCTCTGCACATGGGGCACAACGACCAACCCACTAGACCACCAGCGCCCCCTGAGTCTGTTGTCTTTTAATCAGAAGGTTGCCAGTTTGATCCCAGTTCTAGAAGTCTACCAGTCAAAGTGTCCTTGGGCAAGACCCTGAACTCTGAATTGATCACTGTGGCTTTAACATCAGTGTGTGAATGTAACGTAGCATCCTCTGCCATCAGTGTGTGAACGGGTAAAAGCATTTTGAGGGGTCAAGGAGTCACATAAGTACAAGTCCAAATACCATTTACACATCTTTCTAAAACTTACTGAGACAGCTAATTCAAAGACAAAGTGATCATCATGACATCTGGAGTAACATGTACCTCTAACAGAGGAAGCCAAAGCTCAGACGAGACGCTCAGGGACTGGAAGTGTTTGTCGCTGACGTGGCGGAGGTTGTCCAGAACCAGAGCGCTGGCACCAAAGATCTCACAGGTCCTGCACAGACCTGGAACACAAACAAACAAACAAACAAACAATGTTATTAACACCTTAAAGTGACATCTCTATGTGCTCTTTATTTATAATACCACCATGCAGCTGAAGAAACGTCGACTCATTGTTATATTTTAGACATAAAACTGATGTTGTCAGACATTCATAAAGAAGCCACATCTGTAAAGTACGAAGTTAAGTATTCACAGCACAGCTGAGCTGATGTTCTTATTTACATCATCGCAAATCAATATTGGTTTTAAAGTTAGTCTTTGTGTGTCCTCTATAAACAAATCCTGACAAAGTCCATTATCACCTGACACAACAGTGTTAGAAAACAGAAACATCTGTGATTGAAACTGAGAGAGAGAGAGAGAGAGAGAGAGAGAGAGAGAGAGAGAGAGAGAGAGAGAGAGAGAGAGAGAGAGAGAGAGAGAGAGAGAGAGAGAGAGAGAGAGGGGAATGTCATGCAGGAAAGGCGCCACAGGTCGGATGCAAACCTGTGCGTCCGATTGGAGGATAACAGCGCCCCCTTTAAATCCTAAATATAAAAACAAACTAAAATCTGCAAAAAATATGAGACAAATCAGGTCAAATTTCCATACATGTTTCTGTTATTACCTGATAGATATGTAATATAATGTAAGTCAAGAAAAACTAATTGTATTTTAATTGCCACATTGTGTGTTTGAGAAAATTGCTTGTTACACGCTGAAGAAGAAACGTTTGTGCGGCAATTAAAATAATATTTCAGAGTGCTGTCCTAATCGTTTTTCTTGTTTGAACATGTTTCTGGATTCAGCTCCCAGTTCTTTTATGTTTTACGCTGAAAGGTAGCCGAGCGTGTTTTCTCCATCATTAAGTAATGTTTGTGTTCATAATAAGTCTGACCTCCTAAATTGGTAGGCTTGTCGATGAGCGAGGCGACCACCAGCAGGGCCCCGTGCAGTTTGCCCAGACGAGCCGCCCTCTGCTGGGGAACCAGCTGAAGTTCAGGCTCCTGCTCCTGGATCCCCAACCTCCAGGGAGTGATCTTCTTCTGCACCTCGGCCCAGCGGTCCTCCTTATTCTGCTCACCTGATCACACAACCACAGGTGTAGATTAGAATGTGTTGTGTTAAGTAAGGCGCTGAACTTGTGAGAGGTGCTGCTCTACCTTTGTCTTGCTGGATCCAGTCTCCAGGCTGCAGCCGGCTCAGGTCCGGAGAAGGGTTCCTCAAACATAAAGATAAAGTGTCAGAGAAACCCGGATGCTCCTCAAACTTCCAGGGTGGAATCCATTCATCGTCAGCCACCTCTGACAGACTGGGGAACGTACAGAATATGGTCTGAGGAAGCGAAACAAGAAAGTCATTACACGGTGTGATTGTAAAGAAAGAACAGGCTTCAGAAAAACAGACTAGCACACCTCGACGCTGTGATCCCTGATCGGATGAAAGGCACCGAAGAAGAAGTGCTCCTGAATCCTCAACCAGTTCTTGTTGGCATTTCTAAAAAAAAAAAAAAAAAACAAGAACACAAACATGAGCATGCGATAACAGACTTGTATCAGTATCACAGTATGGACTTCCTGCTCTCACCCGGTGTTCTGCATGGCCTCAGCCTGGTTCAAACAGGCCTGGATCACAGTGGACAGACCTCCCAAACCACAGTCCCCTTCCTCCGCCATGACCTCGTTAGCCAGGCTCCACACCCTCTTCAGGGCCAGCAAGGCGTACAGACGCACGCTGAAGTTGTGGTTGAAACACCACTGCAGGATGATGTCGAGCGCTTTACGCAACTGTGCAGCCTGAAAAACACACAGAGATGATTGCTCACATCAAATAGATCAAACTACATTTTATTTTTCCTTCTCCCTTCTTTGCTTTGTGCATATAAAGAATTTCATCAGCTCCATATCACGCCCTACACATTTAACAAGTATGGCCCCCACAATATCATCCCCTTTGTAAAAGATGGATTACTTTCTCTTAGCAAAAGTAAAGGGCTTAGACAGTTAAGTTACAGTTAAGCTTTTGCAGAAGAGTAAATGCTCTTGAACACTCACACAGAGACTATGGCTTGTGAATCGAGGATCTGTTTATCTCCCTTGGAGCAGATCTTTTATAGCATCCCAATCATCCTGTTATGGGCAATCATCACACTGGGCAATTACAACATGTGTGCTATATACAGACCATTTCCTAGAAGTTTTTTGGACAGACACCTGGTCCCTTACAAGGAAAGAGTGTGTGGGTATGTGTGTACGAGTATCAGATCATGACCTAACCAAATTCAGAGGTTAGATACTTATTGGTTTGTGCCTGTTGCTGTCCAGATTGTGTGTTTCTGTTACGATTCAACCTTTCAAACTACAACACTTTAGAAACTCTAACAGTACAGGTTAAATAGTGATCTTTTATAGCGCTTTTCTACTCTTCTGACTACTCAAAGCTTTTTTACTCTGCAGGTCACACCTACACGTTCACACTCTGATGGTAGAGGCTGCTTTGTAAAGAGACCATCAGAAGTAACTAAACCCATTCATACACATTCACACGCAGCTAACTAAGCAGCTGGAGCAACTTGGGGTTAAATGTCTTGTCCAAGGACACACCTTATAGTGTTACATGTTGTCTTGATGTGTGCATGTTACATTTACTTCAGTAGATTATTGGATACGTGCTTTTACCAATACTTGTTTTTTTTTTGGTACATTGTTCTGTTTGCTCAATGATGCTCCGTGTCTGTTCTGCATGATATACATTTTTTATATTAACCAAATGCTGCTTTATGTGTATCCTGCATGGTTTATGTATTTTCTCCTGTGGCTGCTTACCTGTCTGCTTCATTACTGTTATGATATTTCTATTTATGTAGCTTTTAGCGATGTTTGAATTTGCTTTTTTTTTTTAAGGGAGCTTTTTATAAAATCTGGCATATTTACCGAAATGTTTATTAATATGCAAGGACGAGAAAAAAAGCTATTTGTTTGAGAGTAAGAGTAAAACCATTTACAAGAGAAACGTCCCTCTTGGTTTATTTGAAAACTTATACTTGCAAATGATTGATAATTCTCTTTTCTTGTGGTGAAAATGTAATATTTTTATGTACCTTCATGTGTGCTTTATTTTTCCTTTTTATATCAAGAATAATCAATCACAGTTTGTCAATATGTTCAACATTGAAAAGGCAAAATAAACATATTTAGAAAAAGGATCAGGGATCGTGCAGAAGCTGAGAAGCTGAAGAAAGGTGACTGACTGGAGACAAATCTTCAAAGGCCTTACCTTCTGCGTGAGAAGGGGAAGGATGACGTTGAAATGTACGAGCACCGACAGGAAGGTGCAGACGCTCGTCTTTGTCTTTTCATGATCCTGAGCAGAAGAGACCGTGAATAATTGAACTATTTCCCTCATACTGCAGGATCGTCTGGTGTTCAGAGAGAGTGAGAGCTCACCATGCTGAAGCAGTCCCAGAAGTGTTCCATGTGTCGAGGATGTTTGACGAGGATCAGGATCATCATCCACTCCATCAGGTATTTGACTGAGGCCTGGTTGCTGCAGAATCCAGCTTCAAACATGCGCTTTACTGAAGAGGCAATAAACTCCTGCGCGCACACACACACACACACAGTTACTACCTGAGTGGTTATTACCTGTGTGATTGTAAACGTGACTGGAATAATTGTACCTCTTTGAGTTTGGGCAGCAGCAGCAGCAACGTTTGCCATGCTCTGTTTTTGACTCGATGTTGCAGGGAGTTGCTATAGTAACGCACTTTTGACTTTGATATGTCATTATCCTGGAGAGATGGGGGGAGGGGGGGGGGGGAGATAATGAAAATTGGTGTTAAGTGTTGTTAAATTATCTGTAACTGATGCTCTGCTTATTATCTTGATGAAAAACACTCTGAGTGCAAATTAGACGACTCGTAGCAGAGCAGGTATTAAGAGTGAGCACGTCGAAGTAAAACAAATAAATGACATCATGTTGACAAATCAGAATCAAGCTTGTATTTACATCCAACTGGGGAATCGAACATTAAGTGAGGGATTTGGATTGCACTTTAAAATCAACATGTTTTTACAGGGAGATGAAATTAAAAAAGGCAGACGTGTGGGAAACAAAACCTTCAAACTGATCCTAAATACTTTTTCTTATTCAATGAATTTTAGAGGAATTTAAAAATTGTGTTAAATGATTTCAAGCAAATCAAAGTTAAGAGAAACAGTCTGAACAGAATTGTTCAAATCCGTTTGAACTTTATGAGCGTGAAACAAATAGATCTGATCCTCAGGAAGGCTCAAAAGATTTCAGCTTCTTCTGGAGATTTAAGAGAATCTGTGTGATGCCATCAGGACGTCGTTATGTTTTACCTGTCAATCATTCATCCCCCTCTGCAGTTAGATTACTAAGTGCTCCTTAGCTTTTATAATGTTACTGACTTTTTATCATTTCACTATCACAGATCCTTTGTCTCCTTTAATTTGACTGATCTTTGAGTATGTTTAAAGTGGCCAATTTTTCTTGATCGGTGCCGTCAGTACGATAAGTGATACATAAATTACATCAATATCGGACCCGATACAGATATTAGATCAGATCTGTCCTATCACTAGTTTTATTTATGTTTTTTTGAATGCAAACCAATGGCCCAAAGAGAGATCAATAACTTTTTTTTTAATCAAATTGAATAAAATATATCAATTAAAGCATCTTTTAAAACACAAATGTTTTCATTTAATACATTTTGTGAAGAGTGAACATTAATAAATAATTCTGTGTGTGATTTTACTAAATCTGATATTTGTATGATTAATATCGCTCTGAATCAAACCTCCCAAACTACGCTGCCTGGCAAAAATATTCCACTCCCTTTGACTTTTCCACTTTTTAAAATGTTGTATCCTGAAATAACCCTTTAAAATGAGACTTATAGACTCTTTAAAAGTTTGATAAATAACCAAGAAAAGTCCAAGAAGAAACCTGTTGGATGCACAAGTTATACCGAGGCAAGTTGTTGCCCCAGATCTCTGTTAGAGATATGAAGCAGTCAACCCTTTTCCTTTGTAAATAACTTATTATACCATTTAATATCTCATCCTCAAACTTCTAAAATAAGGACTATTTCATGTTGGTCCCTGACGTGCAACACAAGTTGTAACGTGACAACATATGGGACAGTTCAAAGGAGGTGACTGCTTATGCAAGACAGAGTCATCTTTTACCTTTTTCAACAAATCCAGAACGACTTCCTCTATGAGCCTTTGATGCTGCGGCAGATTAAAGGGATCCAGGCGGACGAGAAACGCCAGAGCACACGTCCGGGGAAACTGCTCGTCCCTGTTATCACTGAAAAATATGACAGAAGTAATGAGGTTGAAGTGTGAAAACATGTAGAGAGCGAGAGAGCCCCCTAGTGCCCGTTTTTAAAAACCACAGTCACACAGGAGCTGCAGCTCACCTTAAAACGGCGACATTGGCTGAACACTCTTCCCCCAGCTGCTCCACATATGTTTGGACGTCCTGGACAAGCCTTTAAAAAAAAAACAACAACAACAGAGAAAGTGAGTGAAGGTCTGAGAAACAGCAGAGTAAACATGAGGACCTGCTGTTGAGAGGTACCGTTGATCCCTCCTGAACACTGGACCGTAGACGCAGGCTTCAGTGAGGATGTCGATGTGGCTGAAAACACTTGAGAACACGGCGTCGTCGCGGTCGCC